TGGCCGCCGTCATGGAGTACTTGGCAGCTGAAGTTTTGGAGTTGGCCGGTAACGCCGCCCGTGACAACAAGAAGTCTCGTATCATCCCCAGACATTTGCAATTGGCCATCAGGAATGACGAGGAGTTGAACAAATTGTTGTCCGGAGTAACCATCGCTCAAGGTGGTGTGTTGCCCAACATCCAAGCCGTTCTCTTGCCCAAGAAGACCGAAAAGAAGGCTTAATTCTGCTACCTACCCACCAAAACCACAGTTTAAAACGGCCCTTTTCAGGGCCACCAAAATTTAAAAGTAAATGCCTGTTCGAATATTTTTTCAGTGGACACTAGATTAGTATAGCACTTAGTAACTGTAGGTGCTTTAGCCTGGTGCTCAAGATTGGACACCGGCCGTTCAACCAAAACAAATTACAAATTGTTGCTTTCAGATGGTACAAGGCGAGTATACAGTTAAAGTGAATGCCTTGACATTTGACTATCGAGACCGGGCACGGTTTTAAATTAAATATACATGGATATTAGAAATTTACGAAATTTACCGGTAAGGTTAATTAACCAAAAAAAAAAAAAAAAAATTATAATATGGCACCTCAAATTAAACGGCTTCAGTCATTGCATATAATAATAATATATTAATGATGATATTTATAAAAAAAATATAAATTTTAATTATCAATTTAATTTTTATGTGAATTGTCTGGTCGAAAAGATTATGGAATGCTATTAGTTGTGAGTGCTTTTAGGAACGACGAAAGAAGGGAGATAATTAGTGAGTTTAAATTTGAAATAAGACATGAGTGTCGGTGATTTTGAGTTCCGCGCGTAAATTTTGATGATTTTTGGTGGCTTCTGCGTAAGATTTGGTTTTTTGATAGGTGTTGGAATCAGATCCTTTGGATGGATTGACGGTTTTGTTGAAGGCAGCTTTGTAGACTGGACATCCTTTAAAGTTTGCGGTGTGGTCTTTAGCGCGTAGGGCGCATTTGGTTGGACTATTTTTGTCCTTGGTGCACTCGATTGTCAGGTGGTTTTCACCACATTTGACGCTTTCGTGGCTGCAATAATTCCTTGTATGTTCATAGTCTTGGCAATTATGACATTGCGGTGGGCCACGTCTTTTTTTTATTGGTTTTTCGATTTCCACTATTGTGTTGAGAAATATATTCTAAGTACCTATATTAATCTAAAGAGAAATTACGATGCGATAAAGTATCGTGACTAGTACCACACCGTATTGTAAACACCGTGGATGCGGGTATTACCGACGATAACAAGAAATTTGGTAAAATCATTCTAAAAATAAAACATGGGTCTTTCGGCATTTTTAATTAGACACTATCGGTATTTTACTTAATTGAAGCCATGTAAACACCGAGAATTCTTGATAATTATTGTCCGTTGATCGGTTATCGGTAATAAAAATGTATTTATAACAATGTCATTGTTTACATGGTAAATGGCGTACCTATTCATCAAACTTCCCCAGAAAGCGTGACAAAAGGATCTATAAATAGACGATGGTTGGCTGGTAGTGCCGTGTATTATAATGTATGTTCTATACATCGTGGTATAGTGCATGTTGTTATTCACTGTTGAATTATTCGATTCCCCGTCTTATAATTTTGGCCCTTGTTGTTTTTGGTTTGTTCTATTCTGTGAAATACAATTGTATTCATACAATATTGGTATTAATAGCACACGCTGGCTGATAGTGTAACATCAACAATAATTATCATTCTCACTCCCGTCGACAGAAAACAAGTACATTTTGGTGGCCCTGAAAAGGGCCTTTTTAAGGTATGACAACTTATGGACGATTATCAAGTTAAGCACGTTCACCGCGGATACGACGGGCCAACTGGATGTCCTTTGGCATGATCGTGACACGCTTGGCGTGGATTGCGCAGAGATTGGTGTCTTCGAACAGACCCACCAAGTATGCCTCGCTGGCTTCTTGCAACGCCATGACGGCGGAACTCTGGAAACGCAGGTCGGTCTTGAAGTCCTGGGCGATCTCGCGCACTAGACGTTGGAACGGCAATTTGCGGATCAAAAGTTCTGTGCTCTTCTGATAACGACGGATTTCACGGAGGGCAACGGTTCCCGGGCGGTAACGATGTGGCTTTTTCACTCCTCCGGTGGCGGGTGCGCTCTTACGTGCGGCTTTGGTGGCCAACTGCTTCCTGGGTGCCTTTCCGCCGGTAGACTTACGGGCTGTCTGCTTGGTACGTGCCATTGCGCTGCTGGATTGGATTGTTCTGAGTTGGACTGCAAAACGTGACTGCTGAACGAATGATGCGGTTCGGCACGCAGTCGACCGGTATATATACGTAAATCGGAACCGTGTGGGCCGTCCTCATTGGTCGATGTTTAACGGTTAGAATTTTAGTGGTGGAGGGCCGGGGGGGATAACCGGTCATGGTTCCGATTGGTGGTTCGGCTCCGAGAGAAACGGTTAAAACGGACTGCGACCTGAAGAAAAGTATCAGTCAACGTTCAGTTCACATCCGAACAAGTCCAACACCACTCAAACATTCAAAATGACAGGACGAGGCAAAGGAGGAAAAGGTCTGGGAAAAGGAGGCGCGAAACGTCATCGTAAAGTGCTCCGTGATAACATCCAGGGAATCACCAAGCCCGCCATCCGTCGGTTGGCCCGCCGAGGCGGTGTCAAACGTATTTCCGGTTTGATCTACGAAGAGACCCGTGGAGTCCTGAAGGTATTCCTGGAAAACGTGATCCGTGACGCAGTCACATACACCGAGCACGCCAAGAGGAAGACCGTCACCGCCATGGACGTCGTGTACGCTCTCAAACGACAAGGCCGTACTCTGTACGGTTTCGGAGGTTAAATGCCGACAGTACTTACTTTGAAGTTTAAAAAAACATCCTAAAAAGGCCCTTTTCAGGGCCACCATATGATGACATAATATATCGCGTATATAATAACATTAAAGCAAAGGAACCACCTATTGTCTGTTCCGGAGTTGTTCGGTGGCGTCATTGATGAATCCCAATTTGTTTGAGAATAACGTTCCGATTATAATATTGAAGTAGATTATCTTTGACCGTTTTTCCATGATTTAATTGAAATACTGCAAGTCAAAACATAGAAACAACACTATATTCCGTTGATAACGTAATCCGATGTTTGAATATTATTGCGGCACTTTGAATTCAATATTACAAAAAAAAAAAAAAAAAAAAAAAAAAAAAAAAAAGCTTCAAGTACTATCATTACTTTTTTTAGCCTCCTCGGATGATGTTGTAATAACGTTCATATTATTGTAATATTAATTGTTTAATCGATTTCTAAAGCTATCGTTCTAATGATATTATCGAGTAAATTGCTGCCTGGTTTGGTGATGAGTTTATTATTTCTGTGATTTACTATATCACTACGTCATTCGTTTCGTGAACCTACCATAATAGGCTTTTGTTGAATGATTTATTTTTTTCGATTTTCATAAGTATATCATATACTTTATAATTATATTACAAGAAATATCGGTTCCAATATGATAGAGTATGCATAGAGTATAACATGTATAATCGTGTAGAAACTGTAAATACGATAGATATCCGTGTTATTAATAGCCGTTGTGCGGGTATTACCGTCGATAACAAACAATTTGGTAAAAACATTCTAAAAATAACTCACCAATGAAAAACCTCAAAGAATGATATTGAGAATACTGGAAAAATGGGTGTCCATAAGCGTAGTAAAATTCAGAAAATTTGTTTCTATAGAAATACCGAAACTGGGAATAATAATAATATCTCGACGTGATTATTAAATGTCATTATAAAACTAAATCATGCGGTTATAAATAATACTTCATTTTAATTATAATCCAAGGGTTTGTTTCAACTAATTACAATTAAACTTCGATAAAATAATTAATTGAGTGCATGGCGGTGTAGTGTGCGGAATAGCGAGAATTTTTTTCATGTACTTTATCACTTGTAAGACCGAGACAACGAATGCGTGTACGTGCAGGCCACGACGTTGCGCAGGTGAACTGTAAACAATTTATGTTCATTTTTTTTTTTTTATTTTACTTTTCGTCAATCCAGATAACGCGATGAGACTTCTGGACACTAGTTGCAGTAGTCGCTAATATGACTACTTGTCTTGAGTTCGATCATCACACATTTTGAGATTATTCGTTTATTTTATTTTAATTTGAAATTTAGAAAAATATGAGACATTTGATCAAAGTTTGTATTAGTTTAGGAACGAGATAATGTGGCGTGATCGATCTCACATAGATATATTAATGTAATCAAATCAGTTTTCAAAAATTCTTATCCCGTCATCCGGTCCACCGGTATGGTTGACAAAAAGTGCATACAAATGAACATAAATTGTTGTTTCGACCGAAGTCCTTTAACAATGTGTTATTATAATCGTTTATTCGGTAAAGTACGATTAAGACGAGATTTATTGATAAAGTCTGTCTCGTTAAAACTTCAGGTAGAAACACGCCGGTGACACCGTGCCGTGGCAGAGTCCTAAAACCGTCATATTCGAACAGCCGCTGTTCATCGGAAAATCGGTCGATTGGAAATCCGCAAACGCTATGGTCTCGGGAAACTCGTGGAGAATACATCCAAGATATTTTCGTCAAATTTCGACTGGTTCCAGTCATACGACGGACCTCCGAATACGGTTTACGAAAACCCGGTCGGAAGTGTGGAAATAACGACTCGTGGTGGTTTCGTGGTACTCGGTGCCGATGCAATAGACATTGGCGACCGTTTAGAATTTAGTTAGCTCGCCAAAAAGTTCAAAGCCAGATTTTACCACCATTCCCGTTGAGATCGTTGTTAAAAAACGATTGTACAACCGTAGCCCGGAGGACGACGCGAATACACTGGTTTACTAGTTGGTACGGTGCACTGTATAAAACGTACACATTTTTCGACCACAATTGGATCGCGCGCAGTATACAGTCGAATTATCCATCGTTTTTACTTGAACAATATCATCATCAACAACATGACAGACACCGTTGCTACAACTCCGGCTCCAGTCGCCGCATCGCCGGCCGCGAAGAAGTCCCCTGCCAAGAAGAAGCTGTCGGCTTCTAAAGTCAAGAAGACCAAGAAGACCGTTGCGTTGCACCCGACCACCGCCGTGATGGTCACCTCGGCTATCAAAGAGCTCAAGGAGAAGAAGGGTTCGTCGTTACCAGCCATCAAGAAATACTTGGCCGCCAACTACAAAGTCGATCCCGCCAAGTTGGCGCCTTTCATCAGGAAGTTTTTGAAAGCCGCCGTCGCCAACGGTACCGTCGTGCAGACCAAGGGAACCGGCGCTTCGGGACACTTCAAGTTGCCCGTCGTCGAGGTCAAGCCGAAAAAAGCCGTTGTGGCCAAAAAGAAGAAATCCATCGTCAAAAAAGTCAAAGCCGCCGGAACACCGAAGAAGAAGAAGCTCGTAACCGCCAAGAAACCCGCGGCGGGCGAACCAGCAGCCAAAAAAGCGAAAAAGGCCGCTGCAACCAAACCCAAGGCGACTACACCGAAGAAGGCCGCAGCCAAGGCGAAGAAGCCGGCCGCTGTCAAGCCCAATCGAGGAAAACTCCGATCAAGAAAACCGCAGCTCCAAAAAAGAAGTAGACTGGTAGTAAAAATACTTTCCTCTTCATACCTTAAAACGGTCCTTTTCAGGACCACCAATTTCATATAAACGTATGTCTTGCACCGACTATTTTTCATACGCTTTTGTAAGCCGTATGACGTGTGACGATTTACTGCCGCAACTGATCGTTTCAGACTGTGGACGGGTGAAACTACGCAATTGCAGTTTGATTATTGCAATCGAATTTAAATTATTAAGGAATTCCCAAATTCAATGTTATTTACAATCATAAGCGATGCAAATAAAAATAACATTTAATTACGTCGAGATACTATTGCCCGTATTTCTATGGGTTTTTCATTCATGAGTTATTTTTAGAATGTTTTTACCGACTTCCTTGTGGTCGACGTCAATAGCTGCACAACGGCTATTAATGATATACTAAGTATATTTGATGATATCATTGTGAACAAAGTAATTTATATATTTCCCTAATTACGTGGACCCTTGTTTTAAATTTTCAGTCCTTAGCTATAAAAGTTGAACATTTTATAAGTTTTTAACATTGAAAATAGAAGCAGTACAGACAATAGGTATCAGAGTAAACTAGGTCACCGTCCATAGTAAAAAAACTCAGTACCTCTTCACACAACCGGTTTCATCCCTATCAAGCATTTAATCAAAAAGAATGCCTTAGAAACCTCCACCGTATCTCAACTTCTCAGTACAACCGTATAAAGAATATTGGGCAGATTTCCCACCCATCACATGCCTCTAGACATAAAAAACGACCTAGAGGTAAAATATGGGAAACAAGTTAAATATATATAA